GGCTGGAGCTGTGGCTGGAGCTGTGGCTGGAGCGGTGGCTGGAGCTGAGGCTGGGGCTGAGGCTGGGGCTGAGGCTGGAGCTGTGGCTGGAGCTGTGGCTGCCTCTCGGAGCGCTCTGCCCCGCCCAGAGCGCGACCTCGCGGCGGCAATGTCACCGGCGGCTGCCGGGACCCGGGCACACGGAGCGATCGATGCGGGGCTGCTGGGCTCCATGTGCATTCACCAATGAACTCSTGTCAGTGAGGCTGCTGTGAACAGCCTCTGTGCTCAGCAATYCCTGACCAGGGAAAGGGGAAAGGGCCCGTCTAAGGCACCAGCACACAGGCGCTGTAGGGGATGAGCAGCATTTCGAGCCCTTGATGGGTCTCATCTCCYGGGATAACATTGCTGCTCCAGAGGAGGGACACTGCCTCTGCTCCGCAGCCTGCTTCCGCTGCCAGGGAATTGCCCTTTCCCAAGGGATCCCCGGTGCGGGTGAACCCCACAGCATGAGGCACAGGAGAGAGGAGCTCAGCCCAGGCAGGGCCAAGTGTCCAGAGCTGTTCTGGGGCTGACAGGGCCCCCAGCACAGCCAGGGCTGTTGTGTAACGTGTAACACGGAGCCTGCTAACGTGGAAGCAGCACTGCACCTTTCAGCTATGCTGGGTTGCTCTCAGCTGTGGCATGTGAGTGATTCGGGGCAAACTGCCCCAGTTTGCTGGGCCTCGGGGGTCTCCTTCTCCAGTTCTGGAGACAAACCCTCTCTGGAACCAGGCATTTCGGTTGGCTTGTGAATCCTGAAGGGTTTCCTGCCCTTAGTCTTGCTCCCTCACCCACTGGTGGACAGGAGTAGGCAAAGGTCAAAATAAGACAWATTTAGAAAAAAGAGGCACGCAGCCTTTTTAGACACAAACTCCTCCACAAACAGGAAAATTATCTAATTCCACTTTGTAAAGAAGCAATGGGGAAAAAACAACAACCAAGCACATTATCTTTTTTTTTCTGCTATCTCACGTGACACCATATAATCTGTCATTAGATAATCAAAGCAGTTTTATTAAATTAAAATCAAAAGTTAAMCATTCAGTGTCCCTGAGAAGGGAATAGAGACCAACCTATTCCCCTTGCCAGACTGGAAGATGCATTCACTAGACATGTGAAATGAGAGACTTTGTCCTAAACCATCAAGCCCTGAGCAAGGTGGCTCCCTCTCCTTCTGCTCTGCCCTTTGCTAGAGATCTGCCACCTCCCTGGCTGCCTTCAGAAGTGTCCCTGGCTGCCTTCAGCAGTGACCCTGCCTGCACGACTCTTGTGCTGTGCCCTTCTCAGCACATCCTTGGCCCATGTAAAACCTGCTCAGGGCCAGGCTGTGTTTCAGTCTGGTCAATTAGAGCCTGGTGAGCCTCAAAGCTGGTAGCTGTAGGCAAGCAAGATGCAGGGAGTGATGGCAGCACATTTCCACACTGAAGAGATGCCAGAAGATGTTTCTGCTTGGACAAARCCAGGTGGGGATAATGACAACAGAGGATGGAGTCTGGATGCAGAAAGCCAGTCGTGTGCCAACACCACAGGGCAGGTTAGTCAGGGTGATGTATCTGGCTTTTCTGGCATTTATTAGTGTCCACTGCAGCAGGGAGGAGAGACAGTACCAGGGGATAGCAAGTGACTGCCCCTTGCTCTCTGCCCAATCCTGCTCYCTCYACTTCATTTGACTTTACCTCTGAAAGGTGCTGCACCCTTGTGCCATMTGTCCCCAGCAGCAGGAAGGGAGCAGTTCCAGCTGGCTGGCTGCAGGAGAGACAAGGAATTGAGTAGAGGTGGCTGCCTCTTTTCCTACAGGAAAGAACTGAACAAACTGGGAAATAGATTGAAAGCAGGGTCTGGTAGATCCAACAGGTCTTGGGTGAACTGTGATCACAATTTTCTTGGCTCCTGCCATGATTTGCATTGTGGGCTCTGGATGATGCTCCCTGCCTTGCCCAAAGGCAGGCTGGAGGAGGATGAGATGTGATGAGCTGCAGGCAGTGCAAAAGGAGATGGCCTTTGTGCTGCAGTGTGTGAACAGAGTGGATGGGGCTGGGGCTGAGAGGGAAGGGGGGATGGAAGCAGTGGTGACCTGAGCAGATGGGGGACTGAGATCAATCATCAGCAAAAGTTAATCCCTGTGGAGGCCCAGGAAGGGCCGTGACTTCRTTTAGGACCCGTAGCACTTTGTGTTTGATTGGCACAGACAGTGCAATTAAAGCACCGATTCCAGGAGATCAACCTCCATCAGAGAATCACAGCTTGGGGCTCTGCCAGCTGACGTAGGACATCCACTCCTGGAGCGGAGGGCTCCCCACAGCCACCAGCTTTCTCAGGAGAGCGCTGGGCTGCAGCCCGGGCACGTCGGGGTGCACCTCTGAGTACTGCTGGAGTTTGGCCAGCACGCGGGGCAGCCCCACAGTGGAGGCGTAGAACATGGGGCCACCCCTGTGCCTCGGCCACCCGTAGCCATTGATGTAAATGACATCCAGGTGCTCTGGGCCTGAGGCTATTCCCTCGGCCAGGATGGCRAACCCCTCGTTGATGAGGGCGAACAAGCACCGCTCCAGGATTTCCTCCTGGTCTATAGCACGGGCCTTGATGCCATGGGTGTCTCGGTAGCGGGCCAGGAGGCTGTGGAGCCACGGGTCTGGCGTGGCTGTCCTGCCCCCAGSCTTCTCGTAGAGGTACCAGCCGTGGCCGGTTTTCTGGCCGAAGCGGCCGTGCTCGCACAGCAGGTCTGGCAGGGGGCTGTAGCGCTGGCCGTGCCGCTGCCGGGCCGGCGTGCCCGCGGGGAGSGACGGCCCCGTCAGACCCTGCCCCTGGCGAGACCTCCAGCCCACGTCCAGCCCAGCCAGGTCAGACATGCGGAAAGGGCCTATCTTAAACCCAAAATCTTCCAGCACCTCATCTACCGCTTCCGGTCTGCTTCCTTCCTCTAAAAGGAAAACTGCCTGTTGTACRTACGGGAACATCATGCGGTTCCCGACAAACCCGAAACAATTCCCTACCACCACTCCGATTTTGTTGAGGGCTTTGGCCAGCTGCATGGCAGTGGCGATGGCACTGGGGGACGTGTGGYTGCCGTAGATGATTTCCAGCAGCCTCATCACGTGAGCGGGGGAGAAGAAGTGGGTGCCGATGACCTGCTGTGGGCGGCTCGTGGCGGAGGCGATTTCRTTGATGTTCAGGGCTGATGTGTTTGTGCACAGCAAGGCCCCTGGCTTGCAGATCTTTGACAGCTTGTGGAATATTTCCTTCTTTAGAGCCATGTTCTCAAACACAGCCTCGATGACCAGGTCTACATCACGCAACAGATCAAAGTCCACAGTGAACTGCAGACGTGCAGGGTTATGGAAATCCAGGCGCTGGGCACCCCCCTCCATTTTCATAGCCTCACGTTCCAAAAGGAGCATCACAGCTTTTCTTCCCTTCTTCAAATTCTCCAGATCCTGCTCCAGGGCTACCACAGGTATGTTGGCCTTTACCAGAGAAGTCACAATTCCTCGGCCCATTGTTCCCAGCCCTAGGGATWAAAGTGAGACAGAATCAAAGACTGTGAATAGAAAATTAGTCTCTTGGCAGTAACATTTCTTTTGTATCTCCAGGCTAAAAAGTGGAGGCCTCTGGAAAACAAGTGGTGTACACATGGAAAACAGATATTGAAGACTGGGAAAAAAGAAGGTGAATCAGCTCTTTCAGTGAGCCTAAATGTTTGAAAAGAGGTAGCACAAAAGCAAATTAGTATCCYCACAAGCTTACAAAATTCCAGTGGGATTCACCCAGTGTACACAGACCATGTGATTCATGTCTTCTCTCTGCAGACTTACACCTATGGAAACCAGGATCACTTAGAAGTGAGGACCTGGGGATCAAAGAGAGAAGATCTGAGTTCCAGCTGCAATCCCATTACCACCTTCTGCAGGCAGGTTCAAAGCAAGCTTCACCCTGAGGGTATCAGTGCCTCACTGTTCCTGTGCGATGGTCTGCTATGGGCATTGAACAGATACACCCCCCAAGAGATTCTGACACCAGCAATGCTCAAACAGCTTGTTTCTCCCTCCTTCTTCTGAACTTCCTCTTTGTCTCCCTCCTCTTCTCCCTCTGCGCTTCATTGTGTAACCTTTGGAGCAAAAAAAAAAATTCAGCCGCTATTTCTGTACACTTGGATGCAGATCTGCTCTAAACTTTGTCTCCAACRTCTTGTGTGTCTCTCAGTGCCAGCTCAAACAGGATGGAACTAATACAGCGTTCCTAATCTAGATTTCAACATCTTCTCTCTCCTTTTCAATCACTCTGTCACATCAGTAGCCTTTTGCCTGCTGTTGACTTTACATCAGGCATCTCTGCCCACCAGGAACCCTCCAAGTCCTCCAACACAGGCCATTCCTAACTTCTGGAGATTCTCAGTCTTCCTTATCCAACCACACAGTTTAAACTCCTGCCCAGAATTCCTGTAACTGAGAATCCATTTTTGCTGTAATTATTTCCTCCAAGATCCATAAATGAGCTACCCCCAGCTCATGCCCCCAGGAATACCAGTGCAGAGATGACTGGCTTGATCCCTCACACCAGCTCTGCCCTCTGTGACATTAAAGGAAGCTGCACTTCCCCAGGACACACAACCCACACCACTGATCCTGCTCTCCCACGGTGGAGGATTTTCCAACTCAATTAATACAAACCAGTGAGGGAAGGTCAGCATGATTTTACCAGCTTTTTACCAGCACAATTTTACCAGAGTGCAAAGCCTCTGAATGGGAGGATTGTTAATATYCTAAATAAAGCAGCAACCAGACAAAATACAGGTTTGTTATAATGCTGTAAAAACGATTTTTTTAATCCCAGGTTTACAAATGGAAGTCAGCTAAACAAATAAACAGAAACAAGGGGATTAAAAAATTTGTCTAAAGCAGCTTTGTAAAGAATAGCTGAAATGATGTCATCATTTAAACAAGTTCCAGCAACCAAGGTCAGACAAGGTAGGATGTTTTTCCTACATGCTGCACACCCTTGGTATAATTCTGCCCACCTTCAGCTTTTGTGCACAGAAGACATTTCAAATTCCCTGCTTAGCCACCAGAAGATAGTTTTTACTGGCATCACTAGCTGGCAGCCTGCTTATAAACCATCATTACGCTCCCAAATAAGTGCTGAAGTTCCTTTCTAGGAAATTAGATTTGCTACTTCATAATCAAGTTCTGCTGAAAACTAATTTGCAAATAAAACTAGAATTACATGAATCAGCTCTTAGTAATACAGTGTCTATGGTTTGCTGACCGAAAAGCCCTGAACACAGGTAGCTCTTCCCACTGTTCTCACTCTCCAGAGCCTTTGGTATGGGAGCAGGTACAATTAGGGACTGGTTTTCCCTGGCTGAGCTACAGGAACTGCTTTCATCTTGCAGTGCAGGAGGGAACTCACCCCACAAGACCAGCCCCATCTGTCAGGTTCTCTTTAGACATCAGTCTCAAGTGGTTGCAGTTCCACATGGCTCCCTCTTGAAGTCTCTTCCTTTCCAGGGTGGAGGTCTGTGGTTTCTCCCGAGGATTTCGAAGCTCTACACACATCCTGGGGTTTACTCACTCCTGATCCTCCCAGCATCAGTCTCGTGACAGAAATCTTAGCGGTTCTCTCGCAATATGAGCACATTGCCTCTTTCCAAATCAAAACATCTTCCCTGGGCAGATATTCCCCAGCCTTTATTCCTAGGAAAGCTCTGCAGGTGATTCTCTGGTTGCTTTCATCATGAGTGCTCCATATAGGTTTTAGCYWTCCCATGAGAGACAAGCACACATGYTTGTAGTACTACACAAGCACACATGCTTGTAGTACTTTCTAGGCCATGGCAACAGGCTTATAGATAAGATATGAGCTTGCCAGTCTTGTTTCTGACCTAGAAAAGCTGTCTCTCAACTTTCTACAGAACTCTGCAATGGCCTGTATGAAATGATGTTTAATGAAGCTGGCAGAGAGAGTAATGAAAGCCCCAAGGGGTTTGTTACATTAGAGCTTGCACAGCATGATTCCCCTGGAAATATTTTCTAAAATTGGGCTATAAAACTAAGGAGAGCTTTGGCTATCTAGCAGGGAAAGAGGCACTCCTGAGGACTCTTGTTTTGCAATTCAGAAAGCCAAATGATCTTGGGGATGAATATGTTAGAGCAGGAAAAAATGGCAGGGATTCATTAGGCCTTACATGAGTAGAAGGCAGGGGAAGAAAGAGAAAGGGAGATGTCTCATGCTCAGCTCAGATCACACAGGTTGAAACACGGCAAGGAACTACTCCACAATTTCTACTGCATGTTCCATTTTCCTACTCAGTAGTGCTCTCCCTTCCCCCAAACTATGAAAACCCTATATTCTCATCTTCCATTTTCATGTCCAAGGCACATTTTTCCAAAAGACTGAAATCTGCTCCAGGAATGAGAACAGCACCCAGCCATCCTCCTCCTGGTCTTTTTTTTTTTTTTTTTTTTTTTTNGTGAAATGAAGCTGTGACATATAATTAAAACTACACTTGCACATATGTAATTTCAAGCCAAATATGGGTATGACAAATCCATTTGCTCGGCAAGCTGAGTGAATAATGATGGTTAATTATTGATCTGTTGCATGAGGTACACTGAGAATATGAAAAATCACACAAAATTAATTGAAGGACTTTAAAAACAAATTTAAAAAAAAAGAACTTGACATATGTACAAGGCAGATCATGTACAGTCACACACACTACAGAAATACTGATCAGTCGAAAACATTCTGAACTATAATGAATATTTGTAGTTTAAAATGCCTGGCAATGGAAATAATCCTTTATAGATTGGTAAAAATATGCAAGGACTGTTCCAGTTCTCCTGTTGGAAAAACAATAAGCAATTGGCAGTGATGGGCTGCTGCAGGCTGGGGCTGCTGCTTTCTCTGTTTCAGGGTATCAGTTTCAAGCAGAAATAACGGGATACACCAGGCAAGCAGGGAGCTGTGGGGAGATGTGGTTGGAAGGGACATAGAGAGGAGAACCCTCTTTCTGGGGGATGAGGAACCAGAGAGAGTGAAAAGAGGTGGGAGCCAAGAGTTCAGAACAACAAAAGCAAATKAAACAAAAAGTAACATGAAAAAGCCAACATGATCTTCTCAGTGGCTTCCCACCATGCAGCAATAAGAGATGGAAGCAGCAGCATAATGCAACATGGGTTTAGTSTGTGAAACAGCACAGCACAGTCCGTGAGGAAGTGGGGTCTGCATGGTTTCTGAAGAGACTAAATTGAGGCAGCATCTTCCTCTGACTGCCCTCCTCTCTGCAGTGAAAATWGCGAGGCCCTGGGTTACCTAGTTATTCTTTCATGGATGAGCAGCACTGCTTTCAAAGGTGTCAGTCCCTTGAAAATCGTCCCTAGGATTTTGATTTCTGTTGGTGCAAGGATGTACTTCAGATCAAAAATGTGAAGTTACAAAATACTGTAGAACATTGTACTGGCTGGAGAATGACTTTTTGTTACAGAAGCCTCAAAGAAAAGACACAATTGTGTTGGCATGTTCTCTGCCTGACTCTAATGGACTCGCAATTTCACTTACATTGAAGGGCAAAATAGGAGGAAAACCTTCCAAAGGAAGGAAAAAGAGCACAACAAGGTGCAGAAAGAAGTGATAGGAAGTTGTGACACTTTGGYGTGGGATTCAGGGTTAAAAGGAGGTGATCAAGAACCTCCAAGAAAAGAGATGTCACATGAAATGAAGTATGACAWGAGCAAGAGCATAAGCAAAGCAAGCTCTGCTGGTGGGATCCAGGGGCTGTGATGGGAKCAGGAATTCACTCAAGGAATTTGGGGGAGTGCCAAGGGCCTGAGTGTTCTGATGAACTTTAATGCTGCTGAGCAGCCACAGCTGGAGCCCTCACCCACCTGCACTGCCCATTGCCCTGTGCACCATTTAAGATCAGACTGGGGTTGTAGTCCCTTCTTAAACTTCCTTGGAGGAGTTTTGGTGGCTTACTGTAGTTACAGCTCTTGTTGATCCAGACCTTAGCTTGCAGACTGGCTTTTCACCTTTATCTTGGACCTGTATCATCCTGGGAACTCTGCTTGACYGCCTGTGCTTCTGTAGGTCCTGGCCATGATCTCTGGGCCTGCCCTGCCTGCCTTGTTCAGCTACKCTAAGTGTTGATGCAGCAGTGGGTTGTGCTGCCATCCAGAGGGAGAAATGGTTGGCAGGAGCTTCAGGAACGGAGAAGTGTAAAGTCCTGCATGTGGGGAAGAGCAGTCCTGTGCACCAGTACATACGGGGGGCTGGCTGCTGGAAAGCAGCTCCCCAGAAAAGRGTCTGGGGCAGCTGGTGGACAGCAGATTCACTCAGCAGCAATGTGACCTTGTGGCAGAGAAGGCTAATGGTTTTGGAGCTGTGTTAGGAGGGGTCTTGCTGGCAAGGTGATCCTGCCCCTCCTCGTGGCACTGGTGAGACCACAGCTGCAGTGCTGGGTCCACTTCTGGGCTMCCAGTACAAGAGTGATGTGGAGTGACTGCAGATAGGGCAGATAAGATGATTGAGGGACTGGACTGTGTCTCATGAGGAAAGGCTGAGAGGACTGCGACTTCAGCACCGAGAAGGTTTGGGGGATCTCACCTATGTATATATAAATATCTGAGAGAAAGGTACCTGAAGGTAAATGTAAGGTAAAGAAGATGGAGCCAGACTCAAATGGCTCCTGGTGAAAAAAAAACAGGGGTCACGGGCACAAGCTGAAAAGTGGGAGTTCCATCTGAATATAAGTAAACAATTCTTTTTAGTGTGGGGTTAACTGAGCACTGGCACATGTTGCCCAGRGAWATTGTGGAGTCTTCATCCCTGGARATGTTCAAGAGCTATCTGGYCATGAKTCTGAGCAACCAGCTGTAGGTGACCCCATTTAAGCAGAGAGGTTGGACAAGACATTGAGAGGTGCCTTCCTACCTCAAGGATCCTGTGGCTCTGCCCCCTGGGAGGTGTTATTGGGTGTTATTGCCATTGGTTCCCTGGAGTGCAGCAGCTCCCTGCCAGCAGATAATTAACAGGATGTGTTGAACATGGCTAATGTGAAGGCTGCCTGTCACCCTGAGCATACTCAGTAGGAGTAAGAAAGGAACATCTTGGTACCTGGTCTTGCAGTAATTGCTCCTGGAATACTGTTCCCACATTTTATGAAGTCCTGAAAAACTGGGGAAGTTCAGGGTCATTAAAATGACCAGAGTGTGACAGACTGTGCTCTGCAGCAGAAATATCAAAGCACTGAGTTTATTTATTCTGCAAAAGTAGGAGTCCAATTGATCATTGTCTGTAATCAGCTAAGAAAACACTGAAACTTGGCGGTGAGGCTGGGGAAATTTCAGGCCAGAATTCAGAAATCTGTCTAGAAATGAGCACCAAATATAGATGGGAGATGCAGCCCAGCCAGTTTTGTTTGGAAATAAAATACAGATTATGTTTCTACCAGAAACTTTCAAATGGAGGTTTTGTTTGTCCTCAGAATTCCCTCTAGCTCAGTTACAGCCCCAAAATAGGCAGCCCAGCTCTAGCAGGCCTTCTGGCTAAACTGTCACTGTGATTAGGTCTTTGCAAGAGTGTTGTTCTGGCATGGTTTAGCAGCACAGAGCCAAGAATGTCCCTCCTGGTCATTCCTACAAACTCCAGCATGAGCCCTCCTGTCAAAGCACACACGGCAGGACTGACCTGTCTGGGACTGACTGTGTCTGAAGTTCTGTGCTCCTCAAGTCACAGAATAAGTAATAAATTAATGCCTCTTTACCTGAATGCTTTAACATCCAYTGGTTTGTGGACCAATGTTTAAAAACTCACCTCTGTTAAAGATATGGCATGGCAGYTAATGAAGAGAACTTTCAAAAAACCCTCTATTGCCTGAAATGAGTTGTCAGACAGCTCAAGASCCCTGAGAAGCACCCAGAAAAAAGCAGTGTTGATCAGGTGAGATTTCCTTGAAACAGAATGGATGTTTTCCAAGTGCTCCATTACTTGTCTAACCATTTTTGAGTGCTACTCTCAACAGCCAGAGCTGAGATTTTTTTTTAATCTCAGCAGTGCATCGAAGGTTTTATTTAAATTGCTCTTATAAAAAATTAATGAAGGCATTATCTTGCTGGGCTACAAAATGGCAGGAGTGGATCCCAGTGAGATGAAATCTTCTTAAAATACAGCTGTCAAAACAGTTTTGTATTAATATATCCCTGAGTGGCTCTGCGCACATGCACTTGCAGTACAGAACTAGACCAGGAGGAGAATTTCATACAAACGTGCTTCCAACACGGAGCAAAGCCGCGACTCAGTGTTTAAAAGGGAGCAGACTGCTTATGGTCCACCCACGAAGCTGTCTCTGAAGGGAGACGAAGCTTTTCTTTCCAAGAAAGAGGAGCTATCATGTACTAATCTAGTGGCACGTGAGTCACCACCTGCATTTGGAGAATCTCAGTGCAGTGACAAGTTTAGCAGCGGGTGTGGCGTATCTGCGGGTGTGAGGGCTGCGAGTGACGGCTGTGAGGGACGGCTGTGAGTGACGGCTGTGGGTGACTGTGGGGACGGCTGTGAGTGACTGTGGGGA